ATGATGATGATGATGATGATGATGGTGATGATGATGATGGTGATGATGATGATGATGATGATGATGGTGGTGGTGGTGATGATGATGATGATGATGATGATGATGATGATGGTGATGATGATGACAGTCCTGCCAATCATTGCGGGATGAAGATTGGATTGCGCTGTAGAAATGTAAACAATCAAACAATTGGATATATGTTATTTTCATTATTAACTATAATTATTTGACTGAACAAAGCTTAAGATTCAAGTGACAATTCAGTAGTTGAGGATTTGTCAAATTTGTTTCCTACTTAATTATCTCAGTATAAAGAGATGTTAAATTCTGGCGCAATGATCTAATCACAGGAACGTGTTACAACATACAATTGGTGCTAACATTGAAATTTCATCCCATTCGCAACAAGAAAACAATTTGAAACACTCACTCGGAAAGCTTTATTATTTTTTTTCTCAGTTATTTAAAGGATAACCAAAAAAGATAAACTTGTGAATAGGCCACCCTTAACTATGAATTCCAACTGTAAATGTATTATAATTTTGTTGTTTGGGTCGTGCTCACCTCGTATCATCGTTAGTAGGAATGACGAATCAACTGCATCTGAGTAACAATGAAATGATTAAATCTATAAAAAAGTCAAAGAAAGTTAAAAAGAGTCTGAGTGCTGACGCGTTATCTGAATGATGCTGACAAACATCAACAGCCATGAAAGCAACACTGGACTGCAACAAATATTTGTCCTCTGAAAACATCACAGTGATTGCAGGCTGGTGCTATTTACATGCGGACATGTCCTACCCCTCCCCCCACACTGCCTGGTCGATAATCCTCTCGTTTCTACTTTTTTCCAACAGATATCTAAAAAATATATTTTCAGCCAAGAATATATCATATGAAGAATGCTACAAGATGATTATCAGCTCTTTGATATTTAACGTATCACAGTCAGGATGGCAACTGCATTGAATTGTTGTCATCAACGATTTCATGAGTCTTTCAAATTTCTAACAATTTTAAAAGGTGTAATTTAATTTCATTATTAAAATGTTCAGCCGTGGTCAAAAATATGTAGATAGAAGCCCAAACAGCAATATAGTTTGCTTCATTGTTCATTTAGCCTGATTCAAATTAAAAATATTCTACGTTCAAAAAGTTTATGTTTCAAAACAAACTAAATCTAAAAACGTTTAACTATCTTGAATAATTATAAAGTAATTATTACAAATAACACGCATTTGTTGGGAAAAAATCATTTATTAAGATTTAAGAAAAGTGAAATATTTTGTTTCCGCAGTTATAAGACGAGGCTTGTGATGTTGATGGCGGGTCATTCGAAACGTTGATGCAGACTGTCGTTTAACAGCCATTACAACAACTATTAAAACCTATTGAAAGCAAAGCATAGCACAAATCGGTTAATCGGACCGCAAGTTAAGACCAAGAACTTCTGTATTGGAATCAAATCCTAATAGGCAAGCTATATTTAGTTTGTTAATTGAATCGAAATTAGTGAATAACCGCTTAATCGAACCGCAATCGTTGCAGCGGCAAAATGCGTGCTTTTTTCTGCCTTGATTTGCACAGGCGTGTGCATCCATTTGCATGGAATGAAATATGGGAATCTTATTCGCAAACTGATATGAACGTTTTTAATGATTTATTACATTTTGTATATGCGAGTTCTGCTTATTATACACCGGATTGCTTCAGTGTTTGAATATTGTTCAAGTCCGAAAACATGTGACACAAAACCTGATGATTTCCGTGAAGCTGACTCAAAACAAAAAATTTAAAATATGTTGAAACTGAAATAAAGAACTGTTCATTGTAGGTTTGACGTAAATTTTATAAACATAAATATCAATTTTATTGCATTCATATTGCTTCGAATGCGGCAGAACAATAAAAATTGTATTTTTTGTAAAAGTATTTTGAACTCACATCTAAGCATTACAATGATGCATTTTTTGAACTGATGGTTAAACCACTTTGTGGATAAAATAATTTTGCATTATATACCTTTTAAATAACTCCGTCACATCTTTGAAAAATGTCAAGTTGTTTAATTGGCAAAGCCTGGTTGTGGTCATATTAACCGACTTCCATGGTAATTATTTTTGATATATTAAAAAAAATTTATAAACAGAAAAGTTGATTTATTATATTGTAAACATTTGCACACTTAACAACAGAACGTTTGTAATTGTTGTGGTTGTTGTTGGGATTGTTGTTGCTAGGGTTGTTGTTGTTGAAGTTGTTGTTTTTGCTAGGATGTTGTTGCATTGAAGAGGGGAATGTGTGATAACGTAACTGAGTTGTGCGTGTCGTGTGATATTCATGTGCAATAATTTAATGGATCCTCCGGGACTTTTGAAGAAAAGTTTGGTCGTATTGTCGCGAAAAATATTCCCATTTTTGTCCTGCTTGTAAAATATTCAAATGAGAAATAAAGATATAGGGTTATTATTAATAGCGCATTATTTGGATTCTATTTTGGATACATTTTTACCATCCTCTTAGAAGTCGATATTTTACCGACGATTCGTTTAAAAAATTAACAAAAAGTATCCATGGCCATCCATACATTTTCGAACGATTGTTTATTGCAATTTTAAATACATACAATATGGTAAAGATTGCAGAACACTCACTTTATTTTTGTTCAGGTGAATTGTTTGAATTTTCCGTTCTAAAAATAAACATTGCAAATCAGTTTACAAAAATAAATCATGAAAAAAATTTATATACGCAATAATCCGATCCAAGATTGGTGACCAGAAATATTTGGGTAGGAAAGGAACATTGAATTAGGCTTGATTATAAAAAATTTCTGTTGGTCATATGAGGTACTTTTAAAATATTTTAAGGTGAATGTTTATAAGAAGCTGAATGCTATGCAGCATTGCATCATAATGGCATTTCAATTTCAGCAGTGGAGGTTTTTGTGCAGTTATCTGCTGGTTGAAAAAATGGAAGAAAAAATTATTGCCACATTAATACAATACAAATGGCTATGAATAATAATAAAAGATTGCATTTTTGTTTGTTATTTAAGATTTTTCATTTCAACTTATTAATCCAACACTTTCTTTAATTAATTATTTTAATGGTTTCTCCATTACCAACCGCTACCAAAAAAAAATTTTTGTCTTCAGCCTCTTTCCAACGCACGCAACATTCATTCTTATTTTTTATTCTGGAAATTTTTACTGGGAGATTTTTAAGATTTTGTTCAAATTCTAAAGCAGCAAAAATATAATTAAAAACATTAAAAATATTCAATTCACATTTAATAAGACAGAGGACAGAAAGTTTTGTGTGAAAGATGTTCTCGTGTTTCAGCATCATATCAGGAAGATTCTAATGTAAATAAAAGTATATTACAAAAAATTGAAATGGGTCAGCATTATGTAGGAGACCATCCGAAAATTTTTTCCTACATCTGTTTATTGTATGACGTTCTGTGCATCGCTGAAATGATTTTCATACATGATCTTCACTGAAAAATATAATAGAAACTTAATTTTTGATTAAATTTTGTTGTAAGAAAATTTAGGGTGGAGTTTTTCAAGAATTTCAAGTCATCGTAATAGATGTGGTTCAACGAATATAATAATTTAAGTGATTAAAAAATTTTCAGTAATTTTAGCGGCCATATAAATAATTACGTATCCCATGTTCTTGTTGATAATTCTAATTATTGTTATAATTAAAAACGCGTAAAAAACTGCACTGTTTTTCAAAATTAATTTAATCAAAATTTTGTATTTATATGCAAAACAAATTAATATAAAGATGCATTAAATGCAAAAGTTAACTCTATGGCAGTGTGCAGAGATAAATTTAAAATGCAAATTGAAAACTACGAGCAAATGATATTGACTCAAAGGTGGACCTCACATCTCGGTGCTTGTTTCATGCGGGTCCTCAAAATTCATTGACAAGTTGTTTGCTAAGAGCGTATGCGTCGAAGTTTAAAAATTAAATTTTCAAGATATTGTAAATTCAAACGTTTTTTCCTAGTAAACTGGAAAATGGAAATGATGGATGTGAAAATAAACGAACGAGTTTTATATTATGAATCAATCATGTTAAATTTTATTCGGGAATGTATAAGTTGATTAATATAGACAACGTTCAAAAATTTTCCATTTCATTTTCTTGCTACATATGAGTCATTTTGGAGAAATAAAATCAACATTCCTCATAAATCTCTTTGCTTTTTTTTTAAAAAATTTATAAGGTATTTTGAAAAATTTTATTCAATATTTTTCACTAGTTTTTCAAACTTGATTCAAATCAGGACTCACAGCCAATCACTTTTTGCCAAGCATTCACGAGCATTATTTAAATTCAACAGCCGTTTCTAAATCAATCCAGTTTTTTTTGAGTCAATTTTAAAATGCTGTGCCTTTTTTGTGACAACCTTGAATCCTACTTAAAATTAACAGCACCATTTGTACTATCCAACATCGATTCGTCACTAGCCAACCGTCACTATCCAAAATCCAATCGTCACCAACCAACATCCAAACATCACTAACCAACATCCAACCCAGAAGTGATCCAACCCACCACTCACTCAACCCATCTCAACCCGTCTGAAAAGCCAAAATCTCAACCCAACCCACAACCCACCATCTCCACGAGTCGCAATTTTAACCAACACTCATACTTTTACAAATAATATTTAAAACGCAGAACTCAAAAACAAATACTGGTAAAGTAATTACACTAGAAGTGTCGTAAAATAACATGAAAAATAATTAAAATTTAAATGTTACTAATACTTTACTTAGCATTTTTTGTTGGTTTATAGTCACTGTTCCAAAATGAGTGAAGGCTGGACTTTATCAATATCTGTTATGGAAGCTCGAAAATCCCATCTAATTAATTCCAATTCTTCAACTTTTCGTGCAGACAGACTTGATTGAGCATCTGTGACTGTGCGACCAGCCGACCTAAAATCTCTTTCAGTTTGTGCTGAACTGGCAGAGATGCATAACACTCGTTTTTACTCGTTAACCAAACTCATGTCCACCTCTGATCCAATCGTCACGAAACCGCAACATCCAATTGTACCCCCAAACAACATCCAGTTTGACCATGGGAAATGTTTCAGCGCTTGTAATGTTAATAACTCAATTTTGAAAACTGGAAACTTCCTGGTAGAATGTTATTGGGGAATTGGCATGATAAATGTTGAAGTGATTTGTGACTTATGTTGACATCACCCATAATGAGGCTCCCTTTTCATTCATTGACACACTCAATCACAACAGACACAAAACCAATAACTGGCTGATAAATAGATACAAGTGTAAACTTTCAAAAATCATTTATATACATATATATAGATACATATATATAGATACATATATATATATATATATATATATATATATATATATATATATATATATATATATATATATATATATATATATATATAACGACAACTCCCAGAATACCTTGCTGATAGATTCATAAAGTAGCCGCTGTCTTCGACTGGCAGACGCATGCGATCAGATGACGTCAATTTGTTGATTGTACCAACTACGCGGCTGCAGACATCGTCTAGAGACATTGCAGTGTCAGGACCAATCGTCTGGAATAGTCTGCCAATGTCGATGAGAATGTCAAAGATGAACATTGTTGATTTCAAAAAGAATTTGAAAACTTATCTATTTGCGATGAACGATTGTAATTGATTGTATCATATCGTCTATTGATGTACATTATTTCACTGTTCGTTTATTATTTTTCTTTTTTCGATAGCGCTTGTGAGAGATATTTATTTTAATAGACGCTTTATAAGTGTTTGATAATAATATATATATATATATATATATATATATTATAAAATATTAATATTAAATATATATATATATTTAAGTAAAGTGTGTATATATATATATATATATATATAAGTGAAGTATATATATATATATATATATATATATATATATATAAATACTTTCCAAGCCAAAAAAATATCCAATATATTGTGTGTTCGTAAAGTTTAGAGTAACATTGCAATTAATACTCGTTGTTATTGGTGGTTCCATGCTTATCACAATTCATTTTTGTGCCAGCAAAGTTGAAAAAAAAGAAAAAAAAAGTACGTGAAATAAATGTCGATATTATCATTTTATAATAACAATATCATGTCGATACTATTAAAGATGTATCCAAGATATTTCAGGAAAGCCAGACATATTACGAACCATTTGTTTGTTCTGAAGGAATTTATAATAACAAATTCTTACTCGCGCCTTCGCCAAGATTGATCCACGTCAGTCAAGTCAGCAAGTTGTTCGCAAAAATTTATTGGCAGATTTTTAGCTGGGGTTAAAATATCAGTCAGTTTTTGGCATCAGCAGTTTTGTTAAAAATGTTTTTGAATGCATTTTTTGATGTATTATTAAACAGATTTAAATATAATAAAATGCAAACTGCGTGTAGAGCAGTATGGGCCATGGCTTTCTTAATGATCACATGTTTATAACTTATTTTCGTGGATGCCTGCCTCGTAAGGTCGGCTCGCCTCGCGTGAGAGGCACAGAAGTTCAAAACATTCAGATAGTTGGAAAGTATTCGTGATTTTGTCTTTTAAGTTTAACAATTTACTTTCGTTCACGGTATAAATTTGAAGTTTTAATATCTAAATTACTGTTAAGTTTTTGCTTGAAGGAAAATATTAACTTTTTTCAGAATGTTTCTAACAGTGTGGTTCTGAGAAAGAATGATTCATTCAGTAAAGGCTCCATTGTAAAAAAAAAATCTCAGCCTTTATAAGATTTTTTAAATTTATTGTTTTCAAATTTTAAAATTTAATTATGCTTCAAAGTTGAGTAATTGTTATGTTATTTTATGTACTTTTAATGTAATTTTTTTTAATATTAAATAAAAAAATAGATTTGAAGTTTTAATTATTAAATTTATTATTTTAAAATTTGAACATATCTGAATGTTTTATTTTTGTTAATTAACTTTTATGTCAAGTAAATATCCAGTTTTTAATGAAATCAGCTGTCACATTTATGTTGACATTACAAATGTATTTAGAAATTAATTTGTACAACCAATTAACTAACTCTAGCAACATTCAACAACCTTCTGTTATCAAAACTTCCATAATGGCCTTTTATTTTAGAATAATCTGCGCTGACACATGGCCTCAGAGGCATTATTTAACATATGCGGTGGGGGTTATTAATGTTTTCAAGATGTAATGGAGAGGGTCGTTAGGGTAGCATCTTTTGTTTAAAGCGTGCACGCAATATCCCGATCTTTCATAAATTTGAAAATGTTTTGTATCAATAGATGAAGTTTTCCTGAAGCGGCAAACGAGAAGGTGCGCGCCAAATTAATATTTTAAATTATGGAGGTGACTATTTATGTTGCTGCTGTTGTTATAGTTAATTTTATAACGCTAATAATAACGAAATACAGGAAGAAAAATATCACATAGGTCTCTGAAAACCTAAAACAAATTACATGCCAACCGTAGCTGCTTTGCTGTTAACCAGCCGGCCGGCGTAGGCCTACTTACGCCTTAGGAATAATAAAATGTTGTGCTACTAGCAGAGTTTTATTAACTTTGATTGAAAAACAAAATTAAATAATTAACATTTTACTTGCAGCTGTACCCTGCATCAGACTTCTAATCGTTGTATCAACACACAATGTGCACGTTTATTAGAAATGGGCACCGGCGGATCCGGAAAACTTTGACGGTGGGGGCAAAAACTGACGGTATATATAACATATATATTATATATATGTATATATGTATGTATATATATATATATATATAGTTATGTAATCATAACGTTATTTGTAATTAATGTTTTATATTATTTTTCTAATGTTATTATTGGTAATAATAATTATTGAAATAATACGAGAGTTAAAAAGAACTATATCTATGCTTTAAATTCTTCAAATGAGACATAAGAATTATTTTTAAAGTTTCTTGAGTTTAGAAGGTTAAAAGATTAAAGGTTTCTCTCTCTTTCGCGTGCAAATTGTTCTAATGTATCGCATGTCTGTGTTAGAGCATATATTTGGTTTGTTGCTAGGTGTTATTAATAGCGGGAAGGGAGATTCAGTAAAATACTTAAATTAGTACAAAGCTCGCTCACTCCAAAACCTAACCAGCAACCAATATGCTAGATTCATTAGTATAGCGGTGTAAATGATATTTTGACCGACGGTCGCTTAGTATGGGTGGGACTAACTTCTGGAAGCCATTTTGTAAAATGACGGACCCAATTTTTTATTTAATTTTATTTTGAAAAGCGCGCAACATAATATACTGAGTTTGGTGTCAAATTATATGTTTGTAAAGTAGAATATTAAAGTTAAGCCACAAACTTTTGTTAATAATCGAATGCAGCTACATTCTAATACCACAATATTTGACACAATATTTGACGCAATACCAAGACGCATTTCGAGAACATTTAAGCATTTACGAAAAGTAGTTTTTCTCAAAAAAATGAAACGCAAATGTAATGTTTCTGATGCTTTATTATTACAAAGACTCATTGTTTCTGTGAATGCGGCCGAGATGTTGATTTGAAGCAGTTAGTTCAGCATAAACTGCATGATGCTCCAGGGCCGTTTGCAACGAATGACGGATATTTTCGGCTCCCAAGAAATAAAGTCATCCTTAGTGCAATTTTGATAGAGAGCAATGGTTTGAATATATTCCCTGTACAAAGACCTAGTATGTTTACATGTTATATCATTAAGACTATGGGAGTAATACAAACACTGGGGAAACCTAGCAAAGTAAAAATGTTTGGTGATCTGGCAGACTCATTTGTGAAATTAATATTGAACAATTTTTCTGAACACACAACAAAAATAGATGGTTTTTGATAATTACAAAAATAGTTTTATTAAATCAACATTTGGAGCAAAACGCAGAAGCCATAGCACCTCCCTTGTAAGACGTGACATACAAGATAGAAATGTTCCGTAGCCACAAAATTGGAGTGAATTCTTTAATTTGATTGATAATAAAAAAACCTTCAACTTATTATCTTTTAAATCAATTATTGAATATATCTTCGAAAAAACTATCCAAACCATGTGACAGTGACAGCAAGAGGTTTTGACCAGTTTGATAAAGCTACTTTCACATCTGGCATTCTGCAAAGTTATTATTTGCAAATCATGAAGAAGCAGATAAAAGAAGTTTGCTTCATGCAAAAGATGCAACTAATAATGGACAGAGTTAAATTGTTGTGCAATGCAAAGGTGCAGATGTGTTAGTTATGTCAGTAATTCTGGTTCAAGAAATTATTGCAGATGAAGTATGGATATCAAAACAAACTTCATCACAATAAATATTCGTTCCAGTATATTTACAATATTTTCCAGCATGCCAATTGATTTGGCAACAATCTCTCATTGGATTTCACTCAATAACTGGACGTGACACAACCAGTCAGCCAAGTGGCATTAGCTAGAGAACTGCATGGGAATTTTATATAAATTGCTAGCGAAAATTTTTGTGGGAATATTTTCGGATGGTGATAATATAATTAAATCAGCTGAAACGTTTTTTTTTAAATAAAGATTTACTCGAACATTGCAGAAAACATGAAATCAATCAATGAACTTCTAGTATTACAATTTGGAAAAAAAGCCAGAAATGCTTCCTCCTACATTTGATTCATTCAAATTACACATTAAACGGCATTTATTATTATTATTAGGCATTTATATGGAAAAAGGAAAGGCTCTGGAGTCTGTTGCCTGATTTACTTGTTGTTGGTGGTATGATGATAATAGTGAATTAAAACCCAAGTTAATGGAAAAAGACCCATTTCCACCTACATACAAGCAACTCCTGCAATGCCGATGTACGACAGATTGTACTCGATCCAACTGTGTGTGTGTGTTTGTGTTAGGTGTGTGTGTGTGTGCTATGAACAAACCATCGTGTCTCAAAGTCTGTGGTTGTTGTTTTCAGCATTGTAAGAACATTTATTCAAACCTGAATGATGTAAAGGAAGATTGTAACTTTTATTTTAAATTATTAAAAAAACATTTCGTTTTTAGTGGGACAATAAATGAAATGCTTATGTGTGTGTTATTATTGTTTGAGTAAGAAAAATATAATTGTTTCTGTATCATTATTTAAATGAAATAATTTTACACCAAATATAAGTCTCAATTAAAAAAAATGAAAATTGGTTTGTATTTGTAAAAAATAATAACACAATTGAATTCTGTGACCTCAAAAACATAATTTGACACCAAACTCAATAAGTTGAACGGTTTTCACAAAAAATTGGATCCGTCATTTTACAAAATGGCTTCCAGAAGTTAGTCCCGCCCATACAAAGCTACCACCGGTGAAAATATAACCTACACTACTAACGAATCTAGCAAAGTGGTTGCTGGTTAGGTTTTGAGGTGAGCAAAAATCATTTTTTGGCTTTCTGCCTCCCTACTATTAGTATTCTGTGTTCAAGTTGTTCGTGTTGTTTGTTTATTATGAATTGTTTATTTATGAAAATTACTAACGGTTATTTGTATTTGTTATTTGAACGAATACAACTAATTTGCAAATGAATAGAGGACGGTTTAAATTGATCCATGTTTTGGATTTTTTTATGAAATAATTTTTAATAATTAAATAATTATTAAAATTCCTAATAAATGTGTTGGAAGTTTTGATGGAAATATTTATTGAAATATCTGATTGGCATTCTCCTTCAAAAGAAGTGCCAACAATGAACAATTCACGACAAACTTCTTTTATTATTATTTCAAAATCAGAATCTGAAAAACGCAGAAAATGAAAAAAATGTTTAAACATGAAAAGTATGGATAATAAAATAAATTAATGTTTAAAAAAGTAAATAAAAAAATTATTTATTAATAGACTAATTAATGACTTAGTAAGTTAGTTAAGTGATCGATAAGAAAACAGAAAACTAAATTGAGCAAATGAAAAGTTTTATTGAATGCTAATATATTTAACGTGTCTTGTGATGAAGATCTTTTCCTGGTATGTTGATTGAGTGGCGACTTGATAGTTATGCACGCGTTGACGAAGGTTGTGTTTAGTAGTTTTGATTGGTGGTAGTAGAGAATGGATGACGTGGTTGTTATTATTTTCCACCTTATGAGATCCTTGATTTCCGCAATCCTCTGATTATGATCATTCATCATTTGTCAGCTGCATTCGTTTTTGTCAAGTCTTCTCATTTGAATCTCTCTTGTTCAAAAAGTTTTTAATAAAATAAACAAAATTTTGCAACATTCCATGAAATGTTGAGCTGGCTATGAGAAACGATATGTATGCCATCCTTGCCGTACATGTCACCGCCCTGCTGCATGCAACTGCAGCACACTTTTTATACATTCATATGAAAATTTTTATTCAATTATTTTTCAATTTTATACCTAACTTTTCCAAACTTGCAACTTGCTTAAACTAATTTTTATCATTCAATTCTGTGATGGGTTTGAAACAGAAAAAAATAAAAGTTAGGCACCCATGAATTTGAGCGGCCTGATTCGCTGGTTAGTCGGTCTGAAGGTTGCTCTTGAAACCAAAATATTACAATGCAGTTACT